CCATTATGGAGATTTAGGCAGGAGGTAATTATAGATCTCAACTAGACCAAGGCAATTCAAATGAATAGAAGGACATAGATGTGATGGAGGTCATAAACATGGAATTTATAGCCTTTGAAATTGATTAACTGTGGTAGATGAGGTAAATATGATAATTCCAAGATTGTGTCATTTATAGCAACTGAAACATGAAAACAAGACATTGGTTTTATTGGAGATGATAAAGAGTGTAGTTTGGAGGAGATTCCATGAGATCTGGAATCTAGGGGAAAATATTTAGGACAGAGTGTAAACAGTAATTCAGGAAGAAATTTCTACTTAGAAATTAGGGAATGGGGTTCCAGTGAGCGTCTAGAATAAGACATGAATGCTTGAGGCTCCCTACACAGAAGCAACCATTTATACTCAATGTATGGATGACACTTGGAGTAAAAGAATTGCAAAAAAAAAAAAAAAAAAAGCAGAAGAACAAGGACTGAACTGTTAAGAAACCATCTCATTTAGGGAGGAACCAAATGAACTTGAGAAAAGAGACCTACAATAGAAGCCAATATACCTGGAGTGGGCTGACGTACAAATCCAAGAGGACTTATAGGAAGAAAGGGTGGTCAGCAAAATTGTACGGATGTCAAGAGAGAGAAAAACTCAGAAAATGGCCCAGGTGCAGTGGCTCATGCCTGTAATCCCAGCACTTTAGGAGGCCGAGGCGGGCTGATCACCTGAGTTTTGGAGTTCGAGAACAGCCTAACCAATATGGAGAACCTCTGACTCTAATAAAAATACAAAATTAGCCAGGTTTGGTGGTGCATGCCTGTAGTCCCAGCTACTCAGAAGGCTGAGGCAGGAGATTTGCTTAAACCTGGGAGGCGAAGGTTGGGGTTAGCTGAGATCATGCCATTGCACTACAGCCAAGCTGGTTTCACATTAGCCAGGCTGGTCTCGAACTCCTGAACTCAGGTGATCCCCTGGCCTCAGCCTCCCAAAGTGCTAGGATAACAGGTGTGAGCCACTGTGCCTGGCCAACATTCTTTATTTAATAACCATTTGTCCAGAAATATGTTAGTCTTTAAAGAGCTGTTTTATAAACTATATATAAGAGTGTTCTCTAAGTTTATGTAGCTCTATAAATCCTGATAAGAGATACCATTACTGACAACATAAACATATATGTGAGGTTATAAGAAAACAACAAATCTCTTGTTCTCCAGTATAGATGCACATGTACACACAGCCATGTGCTGTAGAAGTTGTAATATGATCCTTAATTATTAATGAATAACATTTTCTACATCATGGAGAGCTACCTTAAGTACTTTACATAGAGAGAATTCACATACAGAATCACAGATAGAGGACAGATTTGTAATTACAGAAAAGGCTATTGGTACATTTAAGCCTCATGTATACCAGTAGTGTGTTTCTAATTAAATTATATGGTTCAACAATTACAAAGTAAAACCTGATACTGTCTAAAGTTTTCCAATGTTCATATTTTATAAAACCTTACTTTCCAAAGAGCACTGATATAATGTTCCCAAAATCTCTTCTTTGAAAGAAATCATGGTGGCTCATGCCAGTAACCTGGCACTTTGGGAGGTGGATCACCTGAGGTCAGGAGTTCCAGACAAGCCTGGCCAACATTGTGAAAACCCCGTCTTTACTAAAAATACAAAAATTAGCCAGGCTTGGTGGCACATGCTTGTAATCTCAGCTACTCAGGAGGCTGAGGCAGGGAAATTGCTTGAACCTGGGAGGCGGAGGTTGCAGTGATCTGACATTGCGCCATTGCACTCCAGCCTGGGCAACAAGAGCGAAACTCCTTCTCAAAAAAAAAAAAAGGTAGTCTCTGTCAATTATCACATTTATACTGTTCTTAGATTATACACTCTGCTTTTTATATCCAAGGAAATTCTGAGTCATATGCACCAGTTCGGTTTCATTAACATTAAATTAGCTGATTTGGGCATCAGCTGGAGATTCAAATGTCTTCAACTTTCCCTTCCAGAAAGTTAAAAGAGCACCATCTAGTGGAATTTTATATAAAATCCTTCCAAATTGGTATTCAAATTGAACTACTGTAATCATTGGTTTTAAAAGCAAACTTTCATTTTAAATGGCAGTGATTGTAAATCAATTACGTATTTTATAGTGAATCCTAAACATCCTTTCAACTAAACTTCAGATTTGAAAATCAAACTTAGTAATGTTAGCTTATGACATTTTTAACCACATATTTTTACTACTGAATTTGTTTCTGTTCCATTTGAATGTTAATTATGGCATACGAAGCTTTTCTTGCTTTTCATATCCTTTTAAGAAAGACTCAGTTGATTACAGCTTTGTGGTATTGAATACAAGTTTGGCTTTGTTTTTTTCTTCATCATTATACACTTAATGGACCAATTCCTAAACAAAGAAGGTTTAGTTCTACTCACTGGCTAATTCAGACATTTAAGCTGGTCTACAAGGAAGTATATAATTTGAATTTCTCCTTTAGTGGCTGTGGTCAAATAAACTGACTTTTTCTCTAATTACATAAGATTCATCAATGCATTTGGAATGAAAAGAACAACATGATGACTGCCTCAGCCTTAAATACTGATACCTCATCATCAGACTAGCCGGCCTGTAGACAATGTGAGCTGCAAAATGAAGTTAGTGTCTCTCTTCAATCCTGTGAATGCATTTAACGAATGCATAGCAGTGGTCAGGCAACCATATGGGTTGATGGGAATACAAGTTCATAGTTTCCAGCTAGGTTGCCTTTTTACTCTTGTTTGTTTATTCTCTTACTTCATAATTTTCCATTTTGTTTCTTTTAGCCTGTATTCCTCAAATTCCCCCAAATGATCCCTCTTCACATTGAGGTCTCTCTTCAAACATCTTCTAATCAAAGCAGCTTTCCTTAAACATATTATCAAAAATAACACCATCCCAGTATCCCTCCTCTACTCCTTACTATTCTTTTCCTACTCTGCTTGATTATTTCTTACTACTTATCACTACTTATTTGCTTGTTTTCTGTCTCCCTCTGTAATAATTTCAGCATTGATTCCATTCTTTGACCTCTCTCAGTATCTGGTCATTTAACTTTGCAGCATTCCTCTATTGTGAGGGGGGCATTCCACCTCACTCTTTGATGCTGCATTCAGTCATGTGACTTGCTTAGGCCAATAACACGGTAGCCGCTGTGATGCAGGCAAAGCTTGAAAAGCACTTGCACAGTCAGTCCTACTGTCTCCTTCTGGGCCATTGCAATGAAAACAAGGCTGGTCTAGGCGGCCAGGCAATGACCGATACATGGAGCAGTGCCAAGTCACCAGAGTTGCCCTAGTCTCTCTGATTGACCTAACCTGCCCCTTATGTTTTAAGAATTCTAGTAGTAAGTGTTTTCTTTCTTTTTAAGGACGCTTCCTTTGGAGGTGGTTTGTTATATAGCAATAACTAGTCAGTACACCCTCCCATGGAATACAAACTTCCTGAGTGTGGGGAATTTGCTTTTTCTTTATTGTTACATCCCTAGCACAGAGGCACTGTGCCTGAAGAAGATATTTGTTGAATAAATCAATCAGATGCGGGCAGGTAGGTCATATATTAGAGCTTAAGTAACAACTTTTCCGAATATCTATCTTTTTATAGGGATAAATTCAATAACCTGGAGAGAAATGGTTAGGCTACTTATCCAACAGGCAGTTCTCCAAAAATAGTTTTGTGTGTGTGTGTTTTTTTTAATCTCAATCAAGCTTTTGATAAGTATTAAGGGGTATTGAGTTCAAGGTTACATATTTTGCCAAGTGTTGTAGGTGTAACTATGAAAGTGCGCAGCAAAATGCTGTAATGATCAAGTCTGATGAGATGACATTACAACTGACTTATTTTTTATGATCACTGAGTTGCCCAACAATGAAATAAAAGAAGCCAGTTCACCTCCATAGAGGTGGGCTCAGGTATACCTTCTGACCAAGAGGTCATTTTGAATTCAAGATGACGGGTAACTAAGACATCAAAGTTCTGTGTCAAAGAGCATGGCTACAATAGTTTTAGCTTGAAATTAAAAGAAAAAAAATGTTGTTTTAGTCAATTTTCTGTAGCTATGACAGGATATCACAGATTGGGTAATTTATAAAGAACAGAAGATTATTTGGTTCACAGTTATAGATAAGAAGTCCAAGAGTATGGCACCAATGTCTGATGAAGGTCAACCCATGGCAGAAGGCATTGCCTAGCAAGTGAGTGCACCAGACAGAAAGATAAATGAAACAACAAAAATAAAATAAAATAAGGTAAAATAGGGCCCACACTTAGTCCTTTTGTCTGGAGCCCTCTCTCAAGGTAACCTACCTACCGTCTCAATAATAGCGTTAATCCGTTCATGAGAGCTCTGCCCTCATGACCCAATTACCACTCAAAGGTCTCACCTCTCCATCCGTCACAAATGGCAATTAAATTTCAGCATGAGTTTTGAATGGGATATTCAAACCATAGCAGAGATATTACCACACCGTCATACAAGTTGTTTTTTAACAATGTAATACAGAGTAGTGACCAGGCACAATAGCTCATGCCTGTAATCCCAGCACTTTGTGAGGCCGAGGCAGGTGGATGACTTGAGGCCAGGAGTTCGAGACCAGCCTGACCAACCTGGCAAGACCCTCTCTTTACTACTAAAAATACAAAAATTAGCCAGATGTGGTGGTACATGCCTGTAATCCCAGCTACTTGGGAGGATGAGGCATGAGAATCACTTGAACCTGGGAGGCGAAGGTTGCAGTGAGCCAAGGTCATGCCACTGCACTCCAGCCTGGGTGATTGACTGAGACTCTGTCTAAAAATAATAATAATAATAAGAGAAAAAAAATGAAATGTAACTGCCATTGTAACAGCATTAGGAAGTGGGGCTGCCTTTAAAAGGTGATTAGGCCATAAGGGCTCCACCTTCATGAGTAGGTTTAATGCTTTACTAAAAAGTCTTTTAATTGGGCTCTCTCTCTCTCATACAGCCTCTCGCTTTCCACCATAAGCTGACACAGGAAGCAGACCCTCACCAGATGCCAGTATCTTGATGTTGGACTTTCCAGCCTTCAAAACTGTGAGCCAATAATTTTTTGTTAATTTTAAATTACCCAGTCTGTGGGTGTTACAGCAGCGCTAAATGAACTAAGGCACCACCCAACAATGACTAGCTTAAAGAAGTGTTTCTCAACTAGGGGTGATTTTGCCCCGATGGAACATTTGCCAATGTCTTCAGACATTCAGCAGAGGCCATGCATGCTATTAAACATTCCACAATGGACAGGAAATCCTCCTACGACAACCAGTCCAAGATGTTAATAGACTAATGTTGAGAAGGCCTGGCTTAAAAGCTAATAATTATGTAACACAAGGCAATACATTTTACATAACTTGAATTCAGGAACAACAATTCTTAAAATTGGATATTTAGTCTCTCTCAGTAGCTGGGATTACAGGTGTGCACCACCATGCCTGGCTAGTTTTTGTATTTTTAGTAGAGATGCAATTTTGCCATGTTGGTCAGGCTGGTCTCAAACTCCTGGCCTCAAATGATCTGCCTATCTTGGCCTCCCAAAGTGCTGGAATTACAGGCATAAGCCACAGCTCCTGGCCTGAAAACAAGATCTTCAAAATTATGATGTTATTACCGGGTGCCCTTAAAGTTTACTCTTTTAAATTTTTAAAAGAACTTGGTAGAAAGATGTGCAATTGATTTGAATAGACAATTCATGAGAGAAATAAATACCTAATAGATGCATAAGAATATGTCATTTCCAGCTAATAAAATATACGCAAATAAAAAACAAGAAAGCACTTCTCACCTATAAAATTGACAAAGATTTAAAAAAATTGATAGTACCCAGAGTTCTGAAGGAAATGGTAGATGGACAATCTCCAACCCTACTGATAGCAGTAGAAATTCGTGTATAATTTTTCTGGGTGTCCATTTGACAGTATTTGTAAATAGCTCTTAGATTGTGCTTAACCTTCAGCCAGTTAGTCTATTTTTAGTAAATTATTTTAAAGAAAAATAATCATTTATTGAATTCTACCTCTGAGCCAGGCTCTGTAATGCCACTTTATATACATAAGTATTTAATCCTTATGAAAACTTTGCAGACAGATATTATTACCAACTGTTACAATTCAGAAAACTAATGCACAGAAAGTTTTAGTAATAAATCAGAGATCAAACTGCAGGAATAATTTATACACAAGTCTGTCTGATTCGTAGGAAAAACAGACGTGCACATCTGTAGGAATGAGTATGTTTACGACATAGTTTATAATAGAGAAGAGTATAAAATAAAGCTCATTATCCATTAATAGAGGAATCATTATGTACATTGCATTCATTCAAATGATCATATACATTTCGAAAGAAAATGTATTTAGAAAATTGTAAGTCCAAAAGATTGGTTAAAAAATAAATCAGTGTTGGCTGAGCCTTGTGGCTCACGTCTGTAATCCCAGCACTTCAGGAAGTGCCTGTAATCTCAACATCTCAACAGAGCAGGACTCTGTCTCAAAAAAAAAAGTTGGCTATTAACACTGCTTTTGTTTTGCTTTTTTTTTTTTTTTTTTCAGAGGGAGTCTTGCTCTGTCACTCAGGCTGCAGTGCAGTGGTGCCATCTTGGCTTACTGCAACCTCCACCTCCTGGGTTCAAAGGATTCTTGTGCCTCAGCCTGCTGAATAGTTGGGCTACAAGCATGTGCCACCATGCCCAGCTAACTTTTGTGTTTTTAGTAGAGACAGCGTTTCACCATATTGGCCAGGCTGGTCACAAACTCCTGACCTCAAGTGATCCGCTCGCCTCAGCTTCCCAAGTGCTGGGATTGCAGGTATGAGCCAATACATCCGGCCAACAGCCAACTTTTTTTTTTGAATCCTTGCTATTTGCTAAGCGTTCCAGACATTTGTTCAGCTTGGTGGGCATTTGCATAGAAAATAGTCTAGAAGAACTTACACTAGGATGTAATAGTGATTGTCTTCAGGTGGTGAAATCAGGGATAAGTTCTGAATTTCTTTTATGTTTTGGTGATCACTGAATTTATTTCACTGGGCATTTATTCCTTTTGTAATCGGAAAAAAAAAATCCTTTAAAACTAAGAGGGAGGGAGAGAGGGAGAGGAAAGGTGAGAGAAAAAGGTGGAAAAATCTTGCAAGTTGTACATGAAGAAACAAGTGAGTGGAGCTTATTCATATAGTTTTTGATACACAGTGAGCCAGGAGAGTATGCTATGCTTCCATCTTCCTAAATCTCCTCCTTTTTAAGTAATGTATTACAATTTCAAACATGGTAACCCTATCTCTATTGTAGATTATTTGTACATAATATATTTATATTCATGATTTAGTTTTCAAAGTGTTTGAAATATTTCAGAAAACCATAAAATAAAATATTAGTCCTGGTTAACATATATCTTCTTAACCCATTTCCCATTTGCCCTAAGAATACTGCCCTGGCAGTGAGCTGCACATTTGTTTTCCAAATGGGGAATGGGTCAAGGATGGGTTGGACATATCCAATCTTCTCTCAAAATACTGACTGGCATATTGAGGTTCATAAAGCCTCCTTGTAGCTAGTAAGTCAGACCAATTTCTACCTTAATGAATATTTACTAGGCACCAATTGTGTCATGTCAGGTTATAATAGATATGGAGACACACTCTTTCTTCAAGGCATTTGCATCTATGGGAAGGAAGACATGTGACCAATTATGATGGTTAATATTCAATGTCAACTTGATTGGATTGAAGGATGCAAAGTATTGTTTCTGGGTGTATCTGGATGTTTCTGGGTGTTGCCAGAAAAGATTCACATTTGAGGCAGTGGACTGGGAGAAAAATGAGCCACCCTCAGGAAGAACCACTCACACTGTGGGTAGACACCGTCTTATCAGTAGCCAGCACAGCTAGAAAAAACAGGTAGAAGGTAGAGGGTGCTGACTTGCTGTGTCTTCCGGCCGCCATCTTTCTCCTGTGCTGGATACTTCCTGTCCTTAAACATCAGACTCCAAGTTCTTCAACTTTTTGACTCTCGGACTTACCAGTGGATTTGTCAAGGGCTTTCGGGCCTTCAGCCACAAACTGAAGGCTGCACTGTCAGCTTTCCTACTTTTTTTTTTTTTTTTTTCTATTTTTTGTGATGGAGTCTCCCTCTTGTCGCCCAGGCTGGAGTGCAGTGGCGTGATCTCAGCTCACTGCAATCTCTGCCTCCTTAATTCAAGTGATTCTCCCACCTCAGCCTCCCGAGTAGCTGGGATTACAGGTGCATGCCACCACACCCAGCTAATTTTTGTATTTTTAGTAAAGATGGGGTTTCACCATTTTGGCCAGGATGGTCTTGAACTCCTGACCTCAGGTGATCAGCCTGCCTTGGCCTCCCAAAGTGCTGGGATTATAGGCATGAACCACCATGCCCAGCCAGCTTCCCTACTTTTGAGGTTTTGGGACTCATACTGGCTTCCTGGCTCCTCAGCTTGCATATGGCCTCTCATGGGATTTCACCTTACGATTATGTGAGTCAATACTCCTTAATAAAATCCCTTTCATATACACGTCTATCCTATTAATTCTGTTCCTCTAGAGAATCCTGAGTAACCCATCAATTATGCTGTAATATACTAATTGTCACAAAGGATACATGTTCAATATACAACAGAAACCTGGTAGAACTACCCACGACTGCTTGGGGGAAAGAGGAAACCTTCACGAAAGTGGATCAAAGTCAATTCAGATTATGGAAAAACAAATAAATAAGGATCACTTCTGTAGCATTTTCTCACAACATACTTGGCCAGAAGTGGGTATTCTTCAAGATGACAGGAATCATAAATAGCTGATGTTGCTGGAAGTTGTATCATGAGTGGGTAGAATGGCAAGAAGGAACTTGATCCCTGCCAAAGGAAACGCTAAAGGACATTGCTGGGATTCCAGTTGTGAGATTGCAGCAGTGAGATCTCCTGCCTAGACAGGGGAAAAACCTGCCTTCAACCTTAAAAAATCACTTGGATGTAAAAGACAGGGCCTTAAAAAAAAAGAAAATAAAGCAAGCTCTATCTACAGGATTCGATTAATCAAGGTGACTTGAGCATCTCTTGATTAAAGGACTTTTTTACCCTTGCTTGAATATATCTTTCTTTCAGAAATATTTAAGGGACATTCCTTTGGGGGCAGGGCTTTTAGGTTTTTTTGAGACACAGTCTTGCTCTGTCACCCAGGCTGGAGTATAGTGGTGTGATCTCGGCTCGCTGCAACCTCCACCTCCCGGCTTCAACTGATTCTCCTGCCTCAGCCTCCCCAGTAGCTGGGACTACAGCCGCGTGCCACCGCACCTGGCTAATTTTTTGTATTCTTAGTAGAGACGGGATTTCACCATGTTACCCGGGATGATCTCAATCCTCTGACCTCATGGTCTGCCCACCTTGGCCTCCCAAAGTGCCGGGATTACAGGTGTGAGCCACTGTGCCCAGCCAGGGATTTTAATCTTAAAAAAACAAACCTTCTTGATGCTCATTTTAGTTCCTTGTATTCTGTATGTTCATCAGCTATCTCATTAGCCATCCTTGCTTCAGGCTTCCACAGCCCTCCTATGATCTTCTATGAGACATTTCAAAGTATAACTGATTTCACTATCCATCCATTTATTAGTTCAAGAAATAATTATTGCTATTTACTACTATATGCCAGAAACTGTTCTAGGTGCTGAAGACACAAATCAAAGTGCCTGCTCTTGGGGAGCATTTTCATTCAATTCTATGAGGTGCACTATCCTGACTTTGCTTAGTCAGATAAGATATGCAATTGACTTATTATAAAATCAGTAATCCTTGTACACTTCATTTTCATCCACTTCTACATGTTTAGTAATACATAAAGGAACAAATAAGGACAAAACACACTGTCAGAATTATGATGTTTTTCATACAACTCCACCAATCTGGACATTTTCTTCCATAAGAATTTCAGTTAATACCATGCAAATCTGAGAAAGTGTTTGTACCCAGTTGATATAAAGAAACCATTTAGCTGGCTTTATTTTTGTCTTACTAGAGCCCAATCCTTTTAAAGAATTAAGTAGTATGTGTTTAGTTTGGATACATATGGTTTAATACATGGATAATTTTGAAATTTCCCCTTTCACTATTATTTTAAAAACTGAGTAATCACCAGAGTGCAATCATAATTTCCTATCAATCTCAACATTTCTATTTTCCCAAATGAGCTACTTTAAAGATTTATTTTCAGCATTATAGAAGACATTAAACAAGTCTACTCAGGCACAGAAGGAGCACTGGGTAGGACCAGCAGAAAATATGGATATATTCAAACGCCATGATTTTAAATCAATGAACTAACATTGATCTGTAATTAACACCCATATGGTGGTCAAGCTTATCTTGGTTAAAAAAACAGGCTACTTCTGTTAGCTCTGGCCTCAAAACTAATGAAAGTCCATGGCGATTTTTATCTTGATTCCAGAATCCTTAGGACAACAGGATGGCAGAGTACCCAAGAGTCACGGCAATGAATGCCAGGGCAGCTCTGTGCCAGTCATCACTGATAGGAGGTGAGGGACGTGTTAAGGATCAGGAAGGCCTTATGGGAACTGCAGGAGGCAACAGGGAGGCACCTGCCTTGAAAAAAAAGACCTGCTTCCTTTTCCCTAGTTATTGAATATTACTGGCATCTGTCTGTCTGTAACACCTGCCCATCCAAATACAATACTTGAAATGATCTTTGTTAACTCACTCCTATAGCTTAGGAGGAGGAGGAGGAGTAGAGGAGGTGGAGGTGGAGGAGGAGGAGGAGGATGTGGTGGTGGTGGTGGAGGAAGAGGAGAAGGAGGTCTATTGGAGATAGTCCAGAGCTGGTATATTATCTCCGCGGTTATCAGAGATTGGGTTTGTTCTATCTTTCTTCTTCACCATGTTGAGCCCTTGACTTCCATCCTCAGGTCAGTGTAGGATCCAAAATAGCTACTAAAGCTCCTGCTATCATGTCTGCTCTTTATTTAGGAAGTAATGGAAAAAAAGGGGGCAGGAGGGAGAATGCTTGCAGCCATTTTAAAAGAATATTCCCTGAGGTCCTGCCCATAAACTTTCACATATACCTCATTGGTCATTACTATCTACAAGGGATAAAGGAAAATTTTAACTGGGTCCATGCCATCCCCTGATAAAAGAGAGGTCAGTCACTAATAAGAAAAGAGGGGAGTATAAGAGCAGGCAACTAGCAGGCTCTGTCTCACACAGGTTAAAAGAAAAGTCTCTACATATATATATGGCAGGGAAGGTTAACAACAAATGACCCCTCAGCTTTGTGTGGGGAGATAACAGAAAGTTGTGGGAACTGTGCTGAGCAGGAAAGCTCATGTCTCACCTAATCGGCTCAGCCATATCCTGTCCCAGCAAAGTGGGAATGGAGCCCACTGTGTTCTGATGTTCCCATTTTCCAAGAGAAGCAACGAACTGCTCTCCATTGGCTCACTCTGTTTCAGCCACACTAGCCTACTGCTGTCCTGTGAACCTGCACCTGTCCTTCCACTACAGAGCTTTTGCAATGTCTGTTCCATCTGCTGAGAATGTTCCTCTTCCATATATCAGCACGAACCCTTCAAGTCTTTGGTCAAACCATAAGAAACACAATCTGAGGCATAATTCAGGCTTTTGTGTCAACTCTTGTATTTTTAAAATTTTATTATTTATTTTTATTTTTATTTTGAGACAGAGTCTCTCTCTGTCGCCCAGGCTGGAGTGCAGTGGCACGATCTGAGCTCACGCCAATCTCCACCTCCTAGGTTCAAGCGATTCTTCTGCCTCAGCCTCCTAAGTAGCTGGGATTACAGGCATGTGCCACCACACCCGGCTAAATTTTGTATTTTTAGTAGAGACGGGGTTTCGGTCTTGAACTCCTGGCCTCAAGTGATCCCCCTGCCTCGGCCTCTGAAAGTGCTGGGATTACAGGTGTGAGAGCCAACCACCCCGGCCTTTCCTTATTTAAAAATCGACACCCACATATTTCAAAGCTCTGTGTCCGAATGTCGCAATTTGTACCTAACCTCCAACCACTGATCAAGGAGAGCCAGTTTTCCTTGAAGCAACATTTTAGGAAATGTTATGCCTCACAATAAAAAATGAACTCTATTGCTTTGCAATCCAGGATGAGGGGGGAGCTTGGAATGAAGGTCACCAGACTCTTGGACCACCGCAAACACTTATTACCCTGGGGGCAGACAGCCATCAACCATCTACCCTCTTCTTCCCTTTGCCAGTCAGAAGATGCCGGCTCTGAAGCTGGGGTGGGCAGTATTTCTGAAAGGACGATTCTGGACTGGCACAAGCCTGATCAAACTTCCACACACCTGTCCATTCCTTGCAGTTTTCTACTTAGGCCAGCAGATGGCAGCAAGTATCGGCTGAACTAGGAAACCAACTTCGAACACCTTCAGAGTTGAGGTTCTTTTTGATGCATTTTCTTTGATTTGTGCCAATAAAAACAATAAAAGTAATTTACATTTGCTTCACTCATTACTTCTCACACTGAGAAACAGAAAGATAAATCTATTTTAGATCTGACTTATCGTTTTGAAAAGGTGATCATGAAAGCCTGAATATGTGAAATGGGACAAAAGTCTTAATTTGTTCCTTAGTAACAAGAAATAAAATTTAATATATATTACCAAAAAAATATATTTATTTAATCTTGACTCTGGTGGCTGTTCTTAACAAAAAACTACAAATATTTGTTATGTTTCTAAGTAAAGATACAGTGACTTCAGGACATGCACAAAATGGTAAACAGATGTATTATTGTTTTCTGAATAACTTCCACATTTGCCCAAATATATCCTTTAAAAATGTACTGCATCTTTTTAATCACTTGGAAATGCAAATAATAAAATATATATCGGGAAAGTTACCAGGAAAACCTTCTACATGTCTTGAAAGTAAACTCTTGCTTTATTACTATCTTTTGGAGAGTAGCAATGTAACTATTTTTGAAAGTTTTTGTTATGTCAACAGCAATTATGGAATAACTAAATGTCTTTGAGGGGAAAAGGAAAATGGACCCAATAAAGGGTCAATTTATTAGAGGGAATTAAGTCTATAGAACAATTATTCCTGTGCTTCAAAGTTTTGTTCAATGTAAACTAAAATCTAGATAACCTAGGAAGCAAGAAAAGTGATAAATGAGCAATCAGGCTGCATAACAGGGAAGAAGGAGAACTGATGTGAGAAGCAGGAATTACCAGTACCTGCAGATATCAACAGAATTTACATGTGAGTTGTTTGCTAGGAAATGCAAAGAAACCTGCAGATGATTGTTAATGGTTAGTACCTGGAAAGATAAAGGATGCAAATTGAGAAAGATGCCCTGATACTTCTGAAAGGATCAAACTGTGAAGATTTTTTTAAAAATGAACAAAGAAAAAAAGGAAGAAGAAAAGACAAATTTGTTATGGATTGCATCTTAGAATTACAAAGCAACAGAGATTGAAGGAATGTGGATATTATTTTAGTTTAGTCTTTAGCCTTTCTAAATTCTATGGAAATTCCTTCCTTCGTATCTTTGGATATGTTTCTCTGACCTCTACTTGACTGCATCTACCAATTCAGAGCTTTTAATATTTTGTTGTAAAGATTGTATTTTGTTTTATTATTACTATTTTGAGACAGGGTGTTGCTGTGTTGCCCAGGCTGGAGTGCAGTGATGTAATCATGGCTCACTGCAGCCTCAATCTCATGGGCTCAAGTGATCTCACCTCGGCCTCTAGAGTAGCTGGGGGTACAGGTGTGCACCACGGTGCCCAGCTAATTTTTAAGTTTTTTGTTCTTTGTTTTTTTTTGTGTGTGTGAGAGAGAGAGAGAGAGTGAGTGTGTGTGTGTGTGTGTGTGTGTATGTGTGTGTGTGTGTGTGTGTTTTGTAAAGACAGGGTGTCCTGTGTTGCCCAGGCTGGTGTAAACTCCTGGGCCCAAGCAGTCCCCTCACCTTGACTTTCCAAAGTGCTGAGATTACAGGCATGAGTCACCACAACCAGTCAAGGTTTTATTTTTAAACAACGTTCCTTGTTATAAATTTTTTCCTTACTGAGATCTGAAGCTGGTCTCCCAGTAACATCTGCTCATTGCTCTTCTCTGGAGAAAATTCTAAACATTCTTATTTTATATCACAGGCAGCTTTGTGAGACTTGTGAAAGTATGTCCTCTCATCCTAGAAAGATGCATTCCCTAAACTCATTCATAGAGTTCAGGTGAAGCTTCCCTACTCTAAGGAAAATAAAGCCTTTCTATACAACAGTTCTTCAAACAGTTTTAAAAAGCATCATGTTCTTAAAACAACCTCAGTCATTTCGTTGACTTCTTTCCTTCCTTCTTTCCTTTCTCTGTTCCTTCATCCACTTTTTAGAAACAAAGCATGTACTAAGCACCCTTTATGTGTCACACACATAGACACTTGAGACACAACGATGAGTAAGACGTTATTCCCGTCCTTGGGGAGTTCACAGCTTATCTGGAGAGAAAAATCTGTAAACACATACATTAGGTCGGGGAAATGATATTTGAATTGAATGTGGTCTTCATTTGGATTCAGACTAGGTTCAAATCCCAGCTTTACCACTTAAGTGTAACCTTTAGAAAGATACTTAACCTCTTGGGTCCTCAGTTTGCTCATATGTAAAGTAGGCCTTTGTATACTATTGCTGTTATTATCATCATTTGCCGAATAAGGAATCTGGATGTTATTTAGGCTTTCATAATCGACCAGTCCTGTAAGAAGGGGAGTGGCAGACATGATTTGATTCTTTTTTTTTTTTTTTTTTTTTTACTAATTTTCTTTTAAGGCGAATCATTTTACATTGGAAGACTGTGAATAAACTGGATGGAGGAGAGGTGGAAAAGAGGGAGACCAGATTGGGGACCTGCAATCGTAGAGGGGAGAATGGTGAGGACTTGAGCTCAGGCAGGGTAATAGGGATGGAGAGTTGTTAGGGATATTTTTGAGGTACAGATGATATAGGCATAGATGATGACCACTTGGTGGTCAGCTGACAGGGAGAAGACCGAGTTAAGTTGGTCTTAACCTGTTTCTACCTTGGAAAACTGGTTTGATAGTGATTTCATTAACTTGGATTGTAATTACAGTGGGAAAAGTATCGAGAGAAGATGATAAATATAAGATGTCTTTCAGATCCCTTAAGCTTTGGAAATATGAATCCAGCATTTGGGACAAAATCCTCCACTGGAAAGAACAGACTTAGGGCTTGTTTTTGTCTTTGGTGGTCAGTCATGAGAATGGATAAGATGACCCAGGAGGGCAGGTAGAATGTGAAGAAAATGGAAGACAACCAAGAAAAGAATCAAGGCAAACACAAACATTTAATGAAAGGTGATGGAGGAAGAGGAAGAGGACTAGCTAATGAAGGCAGCTGACAGTAGAAAGTTAGAAAAGTAGGAGAACTCAAGGGATAGTTTTTCAAGCTATCATCTCTTAAAACAAAAGTCTTAATACACAATAAGTACCGGCACTCTGCTAAGTGTTCATCTTAATTCTCCCGCATATAGATAGCCCATTGCACAATGCCATCCTTCCCATCGTGCTATGGCCACCCCTACCATAAACCACAGCCTCACCTATGCTTTGTTTCTGTGCTCTTTATTATGCTCTGTCAGTCTAGATGTCTATCTCTGCACCAATGCCAAGTCATTTTAATTACTCAGTTATACAACCTTACAAACACCCTTCCTCCCTCCATTCCAAGCTAAATAAAAATTATTTCCATATTTCAGATGGACAGAGTTGTAGGCATGTTTTCAGTAATATCACATATACTGATGATATAAAAACTCTCTGACACTACCTTTAAAATGAAATTAAAGAGTTAATGTACCATATGGTGCAATCTCTTTTTCTTCTTTTGATCCACATAAATCACATTCCCTTAGACAGTGATTCCCAAACCTGGCTGAGTATCAGAATCACCTGGGGAGCTTTTTAAAAATGTAAATTCTTCAGCTCCATTCTAGGTGTACTAAACTGAATAGGATGGGGCATTTGGGGCCAAGGAATAGGCATGTGCAATAACACGTTCCACACATTCATGTACTGGCATTTGGGAATCTTTGTGTTCAGTTCTAAGAACATCAATTAAAGATATATCAGTCACTTTATATTTATTTATTTTTTTGTGACAGAGGCTCGCTCTCTTGCCCAGGCTGGAGTGCAGTGGCATCGATCTCAGCTCACTGCAACCTCTACCTCCTGGGTTCAAGCAATTCTCCTGCCTCAGCCTCTCAAGCAGCTGGGATTACAGGTGCCTTCCCACACCCGGCTAATTTTTTTGTGTTTTATAGAGACAGGTTTTGCCATGTTGGCCGGTTGGTCTCGAACGCCTGACTGCAGATGATCCACCTGCCTCAGTCTCCTAAAGTGCTGGGATTCCAGGCATGAACCACCATGCCCAGCCCGTATCAGTCACTTTACAGTGCTACTTTGCAATCAACTTTCAGAAATTAAGCACTTTATTGGAAGGCCGAGGCAGGTGGATCACAAGGTCAAGAAATCAAGACCACCCTGGCCAACATGGTGAAACCTCGTCTCTACTAAAAATACAAAAATTAGCTGGGCATGGTGGTGAGCGAAGGTAGTCCTAGCTACTCAGAAGGCTGAGGCAGGAGAATTTTTTTAACCCAGGAGGAAGAGATTGCAGTGAGCTGAGATCACGCCACTGCGCTTCATCCAGCCTTCCAGCCTGGCGACGGAATGAGACTCTGTCTCAAAAAAAAAAAAAAAAAATGAAAAAAGGAAAAAAGGAAAGAAATTAAGCATTTTATTAATCTTATTTGTTTTTGTTCTTTTATAGAGAAATAAATGTTGTAAAAAATTACAGATCTTGCAGACATGAACAGAATGTAATATAACCCCATAGTTTCTCCTTTAATAAAGGGTGTCAATGGTTTGGCCGACACTCTGTATTTTTTCCTATGCATTTAGTAAGATGAGTCTTCTAAAATTGGATTATGCTATACTCTGGGAATCTGGACTTAGAGAATTTACGTAAGACCTGGTCTTGGGAGCCCAGTAAGTCCCATGCACCATGTGGAAGGCCTGGACGTGGGAGCCAGGCACATCTGCATTTGAGACCCAGCTCTAGCTCTTACAGGCATGTTTGGGCAATTTATTTAACCTCCCTAAGTCTCAGATTTCCTCATCTGCAGATAAAAATACTACCTATTTAATAAAATTCTTGTGAGAATTAAATGAGATAATGCTTATAAAGGGATTAGCACAACATGCAAAATAAGTTCTTGGCAGGATGTGGTAGGTTATCCCATCACTTTGGGAGGCTGTACTTGTTATCCTAGCACTTTGGGAGGCTGAGATGAGTGGATCTCTTGAGTGCAGGAGTTTGAGAGCAGCCTGGGCAACACAGAGATCCTCTCTCTCCAAAAAATAAAAAAAATTATCTGGACGTGATGGCGCACACCATCAAGTAGTCCCAGCTACTCTGGAGGCTGAGGCAGA